AGATAACCTCTTGTGCGAAAGCGGGCAGCCAAGAATTAATTTGACGTTTTCCAGCACAAATGATGGCTTCCTTGGTTTAGCAATTATGTCGCGTTTCATATCGCGTGTTTTCAAGTAAGAACCATCATACGACAGGCTCTTCCGCTGAGACATGACTGTTAAATCTTGAGCTTCTTCCTTTCTTGAGAACTGAACGATTGCAAATACTCTTGAATTTTTAGGGCTTTTTAGCTTAAGCGCAATCACAGATCCCTCGCCCGTATGTTTCTCCAGAAACGCAGCTACCTCTATGGGAGTAACGCGTGAAGGGAATCCAGAAATCCCAATGGTCTTACCATCCATCCTTGGAAAATGAATGCTTTAGATGCAGGACTTCTTGATGGGAATAATATCGTACCTATGCAAGGAAAGATTTTGATCTCTGAACCAAACAAGTAGCAACAACATATGCGTAGTAAAATAGCAGATGGAGCATAGCAGCCATGAAAGCAGGTAAGACAGCTTCGATAGAAGGGTGACATATAGTCTATGTAGTTTAGCACGCAGGAAGATTCGCAAAAGCAGGAAAAGGAACAAAAACTCCCAACTCTCACGTTTACTAGATGTGTCCTTCTTCTCAGGTCTACTTCAACAGCACTAGCTCAAAGCGAAAGAAAAGAAGAGAAAAATAGACATGTCGTCGTGTATGCGAAGGTAAATCTTAAAATCAGCTTAAGTGAATGGTATACCAAAGAAAGAAAAGATCACTACATGATATTATACTGCAAAGCTTGTCATCAACCCAATTCGACATGCATTCTAGAAAGGAAGCATGCATATCTTGTGATTCAGAGCGAGGGAATTCCTTCCCACGAAGTCACTAACACGAGGTAAAAATAGAAGCAAGAGAACCAAGACTAACACGCGAGACTAAATTATGCCAAACAACATACGATGCATCGACCAATGTCATCAAGAAGTTACCACGCGACGACCACCGCACCGAGCTCTCCGAATACGTCAAAAGACCTGAAAGGATTCAGCGTGCAACACGAGGGTCTTGATCGGAACCCTTCCACCTCTTATCTGATCTCCCGTTCTCGAACGCAGGCGAAATGGTTCGGAGGAGCCGAAAGGGAATGGGAGGGCTTTTATAGAGGACCACCGAGAACGTCGTCGCCATGAACAGCTGACGCGAAAAGCAGAAATGCGACAGACACAGACTCACGTTTGACACTGTGGTAATAGAGTTGACGGAGTATGGAGAGTTGGAACGACCCACGCGGGTTTAACCGTAACGCCATCCATCGCATCTTGACAAAATCATGTCATATACGTACGGTCAAGACGCGAAGCTTACGGGTAGGAAAGGATTAGATACGAAATTTTATTGCATGCAAACTGTGGAGAAATCTTTACCTTCCGTCGAATGGGACGGCGGTTGCCTGACGCAGCGCATTAAGATCAGAGACTCCTTTTCACAAGGCCGAAGAAGAATAGGGAAGCACTTTGCCCGAGAATCGTGTCCCGTTGAATCGCCGCTTCCTTTCTTGCCTCCCAAGTTAGTTCCGTACAGTCACGAACCTGTTCTTTCCCTCGTCTTTTCCCTTTGTGCTTTCCTTCGTGCAGCGACGGCCAATGGCAGCAACGATCACATAACGATGGTAAAGCGTATCAGATTTACTCTGGTTCTTTGATGACTACATCGTGCATCTATCAATGTTCGAAGCCAATAAAAGTAGAGGCCGATCTTGTTGCGTGAAATCTCGATGTGTGAGTGCTCGGTGGAATCAAATAAAGTTGGATTCTGCTCTCCTCTATGGCTAGTCGTGCCAACTTTATTCGAATGCTTGAAGGAAACCATACCACCGACATCACATTTCTTTTCTCAAACACTATGCCAAACATGACCGACATCACTTCACCCAGTAGAACAACTCCAACCTTTGTAGTAATTTTCATCAATGGTACATATATTTCTCCCAACTTGTGAAGTAGAACGACCTATCCATATGTGATTAGTTGCCTAATGTCACAGCAATTTATTTAGATAACACAACACTAACAACTAGTGATGAGGGTAATAATGGCGATAAGACTCGGGTGACGTCAGCGCCCCAGATGACACCTCGCACCTCTATTGACCTGACAGCACCTGGTCAACGCGGACCGGAACGTCGACCGATGTACATTAACACCCTGCTCAGGCTCGATCCCTCACGCTATGCCAACGTCGATGTCAGACGCTACCGGAAGTACGATCCTGCTCCCTACGGGCAGGCACATCAGGCAACGGTAACCCTCACTATAAAAACCCTTGCGCTCCGAGGAAAAGAGGGAGGACAAGAGAAAAACCCCCTGCGACTATTCGCTAACTTGATCGTCGGAGGGGTCGGGTCGGGAGACTATTCGCTAACTTGATCGTCGGAGGGGTCGGGCCGAGCTCTCCCGACCCGACCTGTGTGCAGGTGCGAAGATGGAGGCCTCCCACTAAACGCCCAGGCGAGGACCCCCCTCCCGAAGGAAACGACGACCCCGTCCCGATCGGACCACCGTAGTCGACCGCCTCAGCAGTCTCAAGGGTCGTCCTAGGAAGATCCCCCATCATTCGGACCCGAACCAAGCCGCGTCGGTCCCGAGGCCACGGCTTAAAGTTGTTTACACCAACATTTTGACGCTAGAAGGAGGGCCCGAATGTCAGGGTATCGCCCAATTGACTCAGACGAGCTCACAGTTGAGGGGTCAAACCCGATCGGAGCTCCGGGGGAACACCCCCCACGTGGAGAACCTCCAGACGAACCCTCCGCCATGACTTTAGAGCGCTATTGGCGGATATTTAACGACCCAAGCCTGCCTCCACCCGACGACGCCCAAGTTGGCCCGTCGCCCGTGTCGTTTGAGGCCTTTCAGGACCTCACTCATCAAGTCTGAACTCTGACCGGTATGGTGCAGTCCATTCTCCCACTCGTTTCTCGTCCGCTGCACCCGCTTGCGGTCCAACCGCTGCGGCAACAGGAGCCGCTCGTTCGGGCTCGCACCCCACCTCAAGAGTTTCCGACTTCCCCTCGGGACCGATCGGCCCTGCTCAGGGACCGAGCGACGGAAAACCCGAGAGGCCGCCCGGAACCCGAAGCATTATCCTCAGATTCCACGGATTCCTTGCGAGCCCAGTTACGCTTTATTAATCAGCGGCTCGACAAGGTGCAGATGGAGGTTCGCAGGTCGAGGGGAGAGCTCGGGGAGGACGCACACCAGGGATCTCCATTCGCACCCGAGATACAGGATCAGACAGTCCCCCCGAACTTCCGACTCCCCTCCCTGGACGCATACAACGGCTCCACCGACCCAGCGGACCATGTAGCCGCTTTCCGTGCCCAGATGGCACTGTATGGAACTTCTGATGCTTTGATGTGCAAGGCATTTCCCACCACTCTGAGAGGGCCGGCCCGCACGTGGTACAGTGGCCTGAAGACCGACACAATCGCCTCCTTTGATCAGCTCGTCAAGGACTTCGAACTTAACTTCTTGGCCTACGCCCGGCCGAAACCTTCCGTTGCACTACTCCTCTGACTCAACCAGATGGAGGATGAGCCCCTCTCCCATTTTGTGAATCGTTTTGCAACACAAATCCGAGGATTACCGGACGCTCATCCTTCTCTGTTAATGCAGACGTTTATGATAGGCTTGCGACCTTCCAGATTCTTCTGGTCCCTCGTGGAGCGACCCCCCACCGCGGTGCTTGAGATGCTTCAACGGGCGAACTAGTTCATCGTGGTCGAGGCCTGGATGGCTGGGAAGCGGGAGGAGCACAAGAGGGTCAGGCTAGAGCCGGCTCAGGGACAACCGTCCGCCACGTCGAGGCACAGGTTGGACCGTCCTGACCCGTCGGCGTTGAGGACCCCGTTGCCCTCTTTGGGCGCGTCCCGAACGGAGATATTTCTCCAAATAAGGGAAAAAGGGTTACTCAGGGCCCCCAACCTGATGAAAAGCTCGCGGGAACTCGCTGACCAATCGAAGTATTGCCGCTTCCACCGGCAAAGCGGGCACGATACTGAGGAGTGCTGTAAGCTGAAGCGGCAAATCGAGGAGCTCGTCCGCAGAGAACACCTCGGTCGGTATATCCGACAGGACAGGGAGCTTTCACCCCATTCGGTGGGCCCTGTGGAGCGCCAAATCGACGTCATCACAGGAGGCCCAGCATCCGGAGGAAATAGTATGTCCGGAAGGAAGGCATATACCCGCTCCGTTAGGGTCGATGCTCCCGAGGGCGCTGAGCGATCAGAGCATGACGATGCGCTTGTAATAACGGCTAGGATTGCTTACGCCCAAGTGAGGATGATCATGATCGACATGGGGAGCTCAACCGACGTGCTCTATCTTGAGGCTTTCCAGAAACTTGGGTTAGCTAAAGAAGCCTTGGAGCCTATGTGCTTGGCGCTCACAGGGTTCACCGGCGACTCGATCTCGCCGTTGGGAGCCGTCACCTTGCCCCTGACTTTGGGAGGGCCGCCCATAACAAAGACGGTGATGTCCACCTTTTTAGTGGTGGATCTCCCTACTGCATACAACACCATCCTCGGTCGCCCCACCCTCAACAAGATTAGAGCCGTAGTCTCCACTTACCACCAGACGGTGAAGTTCTCGACCCACGCTGGGACCGGGGAAGTCTGGGGAAGCCCCCGTGAGTCCAGGCAATGCTACCTGACGACGGTTTCGCTACACAAAAAGGCAAAGACCGAGCAACCCCTGGAGGACCATAGGGAAACGAAGCAGCCGACCCCACATCTTGAGCCAACGGCGCCCACTTGCAACATACCGTTGATGAAGGATCGGCCAGACCGGACGATCAAAATCAGGTTGGAACTCCCCGAGCAAAAGCGGAAGCAGCTCGTCGGCTTCTTGTAGGAGAACGCCGACGTCTTCGCTTGGTCGCCATCCGACATGACGGGCGTCGACCCAAAGACCGCCCAACATCACCAGAACATATCACCCGATGCTCGACCAGTGAAGCAGAAACCACGACGACAAGCTCCAAACAGACAACAGACTGTCCGTGAAGAGGTGGATCGACTCTTGGTAGCAGGCTTCATAGAAGAAGTCAAGTACCCGCGATGGCTATCTAATGTAGTCCTCGTGAAGAAATCTAATGGGAGCTGGAGGATGTGTGTTGACTACACCGGTCTCAATCGTGCATGCCCAAAAGACTGCTATCCCCTCCCTAGGATCGACCAATTGGTCGATGCAACCACCGGGCATGCCCGTCTTTCGTTCATGGATGCCTTCTCCGGCTACAACCAGATCAGGATGGCGCCCGAGGACCAAAAGCACACGACCTTCCTCACTGATCTAGGGGTGTATTTCTACAAAGTTATGTCGTTCGGGCTGAAGAACGAGGGTGCTACCTATCAGAGAGCCGTGAACAAGATGTTCACCCAACAGATCGGGCGGAACATCGAGGTCTATGTCGATGACATGATCGTGAAGAGCCGTGCGATGGCGGATCACCTGACCGACTTGGCCAAAACGTTTACCATGCTGCGGAGGTATGGTCTGCGACTCAACTCGGCAAAATGTGTTTTTGGCGTCAACTCGGGAAAGTTCCTCGGATTCATCGTCCACGAAAGAGGAATCGACGTCAACCCGGAAAAGGTTCAGGCGATCATCGGTATGCAAACCCCTCGGACAATCAAGAACTTACAGCGACTAAACGGAAGGCTCGCTGCCCTATCTCGGTTTCTATCCCGATCTGGTGATCGTTGCCTCCCCTTCTTCCGGGCGCTGAAGAACCCGAAGAACTTCCAATGGACGGCATAATGCGAAGAAGCTTTTGAATAAGTAAAACAACACCTGGCCAACCTCCCCCGCCTTGCCTCGGTCTCTTTCGGGGAAAAGCTCAGTATCTACCTGGCTGCCTCCCGACACGCGGTCAGCTCTGTCCTGACCAAAGAAGCCTCCGGTGAGCAACTGCCGGTCTACTACATCAGCCATGTCCTGAATGGGCCCGAGGAGCGGTACCCGCCAATCGAGAGACTTGCTCTAGCGCTCGTGCTGGCAGCCCGGAAGCTGCGCCCCTACTTCTAAGCCCATCCGATTGAGGAAATCACCGACCAACCGCTCAGGCAGGTTTTATCTAAATTCGATGTTGCAGGTCGGCTCCTCAAGTGGTCAGTAGAGCTTGGAGAGTTCGACATACATTACGTCCCGAGGACTGCCATCAAAGCCCAATCGATAGCCGATTTCATCTCGGAACTCGTTCAGATTGAGGACGAAGGTTCCGGGCAGTCTGGGGAAGTGTGGATCCTGCACGTGGATGGCTCAGCTACCTCGAGTGGTGCGGGCGCGAGACTGGTGTTATCAGCCCCCGACGGACGTTCGTTCGAACGCTCCCTCCGCTTCGGGTTTCAAGCAACCAACAACGAAGCCGAATATGAGGCACTCATGGCAGGACTCAAGCTGGCCCTCAAGATGCAAGTGAATGCCATTCACGTCCTCACCGATTCGCAACTGGTGGCCGAGCAACTCAGCGACGGATACGAGGCCAAGGAACCAACCATGGCAAAGTACCTAGCGGAGGTAAAAAGCTTAGCCTCCAATTTCTCTCACTTTACGGTATCTAGGGTGCCGAGGAGTCAGAACGAGCGAGTCGACGAGCTGGCTAAACTGGCCTCAAGGTCGGACTCCAAAACCCAGTCCGAGATTAAAGAGCTCCCCTTTCGCGCTATCTCGGTCTCGGCTGTATCTTCAACTAACGCGCGTACCACATGGGTGCAGGAGATGCTGCGCTTCAAGCGTGACGGGATTCTTCCCCCCAACGAGGCTACGGCTCGGCGCATCCGCCGAATGCAGGCATGGTACTCCGAGGTGAACGGACGACTCTATAAGCGGTCCTTCTCGCATCCTCTACTGCGGTGCCTCGGGCCTGAAGAGGCTTGGACGGTCTTGGCCGAGGTCCATGAGGGGATTTGCGGAGAGCATATCGCTGGATGGACCTTGGCTTACAAAATCCTTCGCCAAGGATACTATTGGCCCACCATGTCCCGAGACGCAAGATCTTACGTACAGCGGTGCGGCCCGTGCGAGAGGCACGCCCGAACGCCCCGGCAGCCTGCGGTTCCGCTCGCCCCCATTGACTGTGCGTGGCCATTCGCACAATGGGGATTGGACCTCCTCGACCCTTTCCCACCAGTCTCGGGACAACGAAGATATATCGTCGTGGGAGTAGATTACTTCACCAAGTGGGTTGAGGTCGAGCCACTAGCAACGATCACAGAACGACAAGTAGAGAAGTTCGTTTGGAAAAATATCGTGACTCGGTTCGGCTTGCCCAGAACCATCATCACGGACAATGGATCCCAGTTCACCAGCACGAGGTTTCGAGAGTTCTAGGCGAACTACGGGATTCAGCTGAGGTTTAGCTCGGTGGCCCACCCCCAGACGAACGGACTGGCCGAGGTGACCAACCGATCTATTCTGGACGGGCTCAGAAGGAGAGTGTCCGCGGCCTGATCAGCTTGGGTGGATGAGCTCCCAAGTATCCTATGGTCCCTGCAGACCACCCCCAAAACCGCAACTGGAGAATCCCCCTACAGCCTCTCATTCGGGACTGAGGCCGTACTACCCCCCGAAGTGGTTTTCCCTACCCCTTGGACGGAAAACTACGATGAAAGGATATCAACCCAAGGACTACAAGGCAGTCTCGACCTGCTCGAAGAGCGGCGTGCTGACGTGCACTTGAAAGACCTCTCTTACATGTTGCTCCTCGGTTGCATGTTGCCCGAGACCACTACCTCTGCGCGGCCTGCCTGCCTGAGTCGTACTCATCGGATGCATGTTGCCCGAGACCACTACCTCTGTGCAGCCTGCCCGCCTGAGCCGTGCTCCTCGGCTGCATGTTGCCCGAGACCACTACCTCTACGCGGCTTGCCCGCCCAAGTCAAGCTCCTCGGCTGCATGTTGCCCGAGACAACTACCTCTGCGTGGCCTGCCCGCCTTAGTCGTGCTCCTCGGCTGCATGTTGCCCAAGACCACTACCTCTACGCGACCTGCCTGCCTGAGTTGTGCTCCTCGGCTGCATGTTGCCCGAGACCACTACCTCTGTGCGGCCTGCCCACCTGAGTCGTGCTCCTCGATTGCATGTTGCCATCCTCGGCTGCATGTTGCCCGAGACCACTACCTCTACGCGCCAGCCCGCCTGAGTCGTGCTCCTCGGCTGCATGTTGCCCGAGACCACTACATCTGCGCGGCCTGCTCGCCCGAGTCACGCTCCTCGGCCACATACTACCCAGGGCCACCGCTGCACATCCAACCCTCCTTAGTTACTAAACTCCACAATTCCCACACCCCTGGTAACGGGCCGGCAACCGCCCAGTAGGGATAGTTTCTTAAAGCTGAAGCCATGCCTCGAACCCCCTTTTTACAACAACCGACACATAGCTTCCTTCGGGGGGAGGGGGAATATGATGAGGGTAATAATGGCGATAAGACTCGGGTGACGTCAGTTGCCCCAGATGACGCCTCGCGCCTCTGTTGACCTGACAGCACCTGGTCAACGTGGACCGGAACGCCGACCGAGGCACATTAACGCCCTGCTCAGGCTCGATCCCTCACGCCACACCAACGTCGATGTCAGACGCTACCGGAAGTACGATCCCGCTCCCTACGAACAGGCACATCAAGCAACGGTAACCCTCACTATAAAAACCCTCGTGCTCCGAGGAAAAGAGGGAGGACAAGAGAAAAACCCCCTGCGACTATTCGCTAACTTGATCGTCGGAGAGGTCGGGCCGAGCTCTCCCGACCCGACCTGTGTGTAGGTGCGAAGACGGAGGCCTCCCACTAAACGCCCAAGCGAGGACCCCCCTCCCGGAGGAAACGACGACCCCGTCCCGATCGGACCACTGCAGTCGGCCGCCTCAGCAGTCTCAAGAGTCGTCCCAGGAAGATCCCCCATCATCCGAACCCGAACCAAGCCGCATCGGCCCCAAGGCCACGGCTTAAAGTTGTTTACACCAACAACTAATACAATAATGTTTAAGGATTAAAATGAACAAACATTATCATTGTAAACTCCAGCCACATGAACTATTTCCTCGTTCTTTTCCTTTGTTTCCTGTTCAACGACAAACAACGGAGGACAACTATACTACCACTTCCAAAATGTTAAAACACCTCAAAAGTGTAAATGGACATATGGCACAGCACAACTAGTATAATCACAAGCTTAACTAGATGATTAAGCATAGAACTAAAACTGAATCGAATGCAAAGCCCAAGAATGAGATTAAATCTATATATACTCTGAATAGCAATCCAAAATGTCTGCATCCAAGGCCACCAACAGTATTCTTGTTTACACAAGTCCAATATATCGAATCCCAAAACAAAAATAACCAAGAAAACCCAAGAAAATAAATGAACAATATTTCATTCTATGCTTTTCTTGATAACATAGAAGGTAACATCATGCCACGAATACACACACAAGTAAATGTAACAATTAAGCCGAGTGAAAAATCCACTGAGTAGATCAACCAATCTCGAGCTTTAGAAAGCATTTCAAGATTCCATGAGTAGATCAACCAAGGAAAAATGTGTCTTCCGGCGTGTGTATGTGTGAGAGACAGATCTATACTGCTATTTAATAAAATAACATGATTAAACTTAATACAAGGGAAATAAATTAGGAAAGGCCATGATGCCCTGCATATCTAGAAAAATTTCATTATATCAGTAGTCATTTCATCGACCAATGGTGAGATCAACTAAAAAACGGTTGTATATGCCGGCAACAGTAGTCTCTTGCATCAGATGTGTTCTAACTCTACATCAAAAATTTACCACCACAAGGCTACCATCAGTTTCCGAATATAATAAGACATTGATGCCTTAGAACATTTACAAGAATACTAACAAACCAAGAACATAACAGCCCCTTAAAGGCCTCATCTAGAAATAATGATTTCAATAAACAGAAGGAACCTACATGAACATAAACTAAAAACCCTCAGTTTAATATAGCAGGAACCAGAACCGAGTGAGTACTTAAACTTCTTTATATATACCATCCTGACATTCAGAATTTGCCGACTCAAAACTCCTAACTAAGAGGTGATTACTTCAGTATCGTACAGAAACAAGAATGTAGAACATCGACACTAGTCCTAGAACGTAATACAATATGGCAGAATTCTTCAAACCATGCAGTCAAAAATACATGCCTTTACCTAGAATATGAAATACATATTTAGTATGTGTGTGTATGCAGTATCTATGAATATAAGTCTACACACATATATACCATAAGGATCCAAGGTTAATTCACCCAAAGGAAAAGACCAGACATCTATTGATGATTTTTTTCCCCTTTGTTTCCTTTTAAGCTTTCCATAGTATTTAAATTTATTTCTATTGTAGATCGAAAATGTTCCATGAGCCGGATCATGTGATCCAAGTCATAAGTAATTTCTAGCAACATAGGTACAACTCACTCGGGTACCTATTGAAGCCAATACTTGCATGATTATTCGAGGCACAGAATCTTTTATTTTTAAGGTAACAATCATGAACATAAAAATTGAATCTCCAAGTCTTTACACTTTTTCACAGTACTTGTCAATGTATGACTTGAAGAAACTACATGACCCTGTACTCCTCATCACTAAAGTACCTTATTTGCTGGTCCAACAAGATCCTGTGAACACTAAATCTCTATGTTTCAGTATATGATACATCATACATCCTTGGCTAATATCACTTCCGACAAACATAGCCAACCAAGAATGCATCAATCTTGACATCATCATAGACCCATACAACTAATAGTAACTACAACGATCTTGAACTACTAAGTACTCCAGAATTCCCAACAAATGTGGATAACAAAACTTGAAGGTATTCAGAGAGTATGAAGTACTATTAATATTGCAAAAGCATAGGATATAGATCGTGATAGCAAGATCCAACAGCATAGAACAGAAAGCATCTTTTACCAAAGCTAAGCATTACATTTTTTTTCACCCAATGAAGCAGAGGAAAAGTCCAAAACCAAGAAGGAAGCATCAATACACCAGTAAAGTCATTAACTTTGCAACCAAGAGACCTTCTCGGACGCAAGTTCGAGTTCCATGGAAAGCTAAAACTGGGGTGGGGAGTGGAGAAGAGAAAACAGGAAGACAAATCACAACCTTCACCGGCCTTGTACCATGCCGGTGGGGTTGATCCCGAGAAGCATGTTGTTACCTCCGGGGAGGTAGACAATGTTGGGCGACCTGGAGAGTGTGGTGGCGATCTCGCGAGCAGCCTCGATGCGGCGGAGCTCGAGGAGACCAGTGCCCGCAGTAGCGGTAGCATCAGAGATGAGCTTTGCAGCCTCGCTCTCACCCTCGGCGCGGATGACGGCAGCGCGCCTCTCCTGCTCTGCACGGGCGACCAGGAATTTGGATCGCTCGGCTTCCTGCTGAGCCACCTGCTTCTTCTCAACGGCGCTGGAGAACTCGACACCGTAGGAGAGGTGGGTGATGGCCACGTCATCAAGCACGATGTGGAAGTCGCGGGCGCGGCGGACGAGGGCATCGCGGACGAGGGCAGAGACGTGAGGCCGCTCGGTGAGCAGCTGGTCGGCATTGAACTGCGCAACGACAGATTTAAGGACCTCGTTGCCGATGGAAGGGAGGACTTTCTCGTCGTACTCGGTGCCAAGGGAGGTGAAGATGGTGGGGAGGCGGGCGACGTCGGGGCGGGAGAGGAGGCGGAGGGTGAGGTTGACCATCTGCAGGTCCTTGGTGCCGGAGTTGGAGGTGAAGGTGTGGGGACGAGTGCGGATGTCGAAGATGAAGGGTTTCTGCAGCCAGGGGACGAGAAAGTGAGTGCCCTCGCCCACCGTCTCCGGGAGCACGCCGCGGAAGCGGTCGAAGAGCACCGCCCGCTGGCCGCCGTCCACCGTATAGAGGGACGCATTCAGCAGCGTCGCGCTGACCCCGAGACCAAACGCTGCTCGCGCTACGTTCGTTAGGAACGACACCGCCGCCTGCCCGCCGCCCGCAGCCATCTGCTTATCCTGATCGTTCGATTCCTCTCAGAGCACGAGGAAGGGGAGATGACGAGATGGGTGGCGTGTGGAGGAGGAGGAGGAAGGATAACTACTGACGACGGCGGCGCTGCAAAACCCTAATGGGGTTCTCGATTTGACTTCCTCGGTGGCGATTTTATCCGCTTTGCTTTCATTCGGGGGAGGAAGCGGCGCTGTAGAAGCTCCCGCTCTCCTTCCTCGGCCGAGCCACCAGTCAGGGGAAGCGGCGATTCTAGCTGCTGACCCCACAGGTTAAGAGGTCGTGGCCTCTTTTCCTCCTCTAATAGCAAAACGTGTTTCCCTGTTTGGTGAGGAGGTCAGGACACAGGAGCCAAATGGACCAGATCATAGTAAGCTTCTCACATTTGGCAATGATACACATTGTCCGATCTACGAAATGCTATAAAATTTAAACAAAATATAATATAAATCAAAATACTAATTAATTGAAATTGGAAGGAGGTTCGATGGCTTATATCAAGTTTTTCCATGTAAATCGGATCGGATTTGATTCCCTTTTTTGGTTTTACTTTGAACATCCCTAATCGCAAGCATTTAGTTTGTTTTCATATTTCTCGAAAATATTTTCTTCACTTGTAATTAGTCAACTGAGATTATAAAAATATGAATTAATTATATATTATCCTTTATAATTAGTTATTCTTAGTATTCTAATTTTTATATTTTAAAAAAATATATTAAAATCTCTATAATTACAAAAGTGAGGTAATTAATTCGTTACGTCAATAAATTTTTTTTCTTGATTTTTATCCTTATGAAATCATTTGTTTAATATGGATAAGGATTTTAATATTTCTCATTCATAAATATAAAAATTTTAAATTAAAATATAAATATTAAAAATAATTAATTACTTGAGATAATCTATTATTAGCCCTAAAAATATTCACTTCTTCCACCATTCACGTTAAGATATTAATGCTTAATCATATAAATTCAAATTAATACATGAAAGCCACGGCAACGGGAGGCCAAATCTCGGAGAGAGGGCTATAAAGGGGAAGGTGAAGGTGGTGAGCGGAGACCTTCTCGTCATCACTTTCTCTTTCTCTCGTTTAGGTAGTTCTAGTGTAAGAGAAGGAGGAGGCAGAGGAGGAGGAGGAGGAGGGGGGTGAGAGAAACCGATGGGGAGGCAGCCATGCTGTGACAAGGTGGGGCTGAAGAAGGGGCCATGGACAACAGAGGAGGACAAGAGGCTGATCAACTTCATGCTCACCAATGGCCAATGCTGTTGGAGGGTTGTTCCTAAGCTCGCAGGTCCTCCCTCTGCTCCATTCATTTGATTTAACGTCAGTGATCGCTAACACAGTGAGCAAGATGGACTGCGTTCATGCTTTTCTGTCTTCCTTTGTTGTAGGACTTCTGAGGTGTGGAAAGAGTTGCAGACTAAGGTGGACGAACTACCTCCGGCCTGACCTGAAGAGGGGATTGCTGTCGGAAGAGGAGGAGAAGATGGTCATTGAGCTCCATTCTCAGCTGGGAAACAGGCATGCTGCTGCTGCTCCCCATCTTCCCTCTTCGTTTGCTTCTTGTTTCTTTTGTCTTATTGTAGGAATTTTCTCGTTGGAGTGGCTGTACTAAGCAAAGCTTTCGTTTGTTGTCTCAGATGGTCTAGGATCGCATCCCATCTCCGTGGTAGAACTGATAACGAGATCAAGAACCACTGGAACACCCACATCAAGAAGAAGCTGAGGAAGATGGGGATCGACCCCTTGCTTCACAAGCCCCTCATTCCTTCAGCAAGTGGTGTTCCCCATCAGGAGCAGCAACAGGCGGGTGCTTTGGCTGAGAGGATGGAAGAACAGGAGAAGCCCTGCTCAGGAAGCTCTTCTGAGAAGGCTGCAGAAGGGCAAGTTGAGGAGAACATACCAAGCACGGCTTCTGACGCATTCCTGAGCAAGTCTCCAGGATTTTGCACCGACGAGGTGCCCATGATTCTCCCCCATGACATATTAGCCTCATGTGCTTCCACTCCCACGGCCTCGTCTTCCATTTCGACATCATCAACATGCTCTTCTTCCAGCTCCTCATCGAAGGCTGCGGAGATCCAATTTCCATGCATGGAGTGGCCAGAATCAACGTATCTCTGGGGTTTGGATGACTTGAATGGATGGGACTTCATCTTCGATCGGAGGGATGAAGAATTAGGCCTCGATCCTTTCAGCCAGTGGCAAAGAACCGCTTCTGATCATGAATCCTGAACTCTGAGCTATTCTAATCTCATTCTCCTTCTGTAATTCCTAATTGCCGATAGAACAAAGCAGAATGATGACAAATGTTTACTCCATCTTTATTCGATCAATTGAAAGTCCGATACTTCACTCTTAGATCATTCAATCTAAAAAGAAAATTTACGATGAGACACAAACGATTACTTTAATACAAAAAATCCACCATTTTCTTGCACCATTCAATATCGCTTGAAACATTAGCCGCATTATGCGCAACGCATGAACAGTGGATACCGACGCGGCCACGTCGTAGCTTCCTTCACCACGCAGCGAGTAGAAGTGTAAAACAAGCATTTGTTTGACCAGAGGGAACAAAACGAGGAAAGCATCGAATTGACGCTATAAATCAGTGGATCGCTGGAGGTTGAAGACAAAATGTTGGCGGACATGAGTGCCTCTTTTGTTTCAGATGATTAAGCTCTGTTGCCCCCAAACAATTCCTGGAGGCATACCGTATAAGTTTGACTCTCTGTTCTCGTCGCCATCCATCTGTTTCTCCTTAACCATTTATCACTGGAAATTGTTGGCTAATTAGTGAATGACTTGGGAACAATTATGATCAACTCTATCTTCCCTACTACACCATGTTCTACACTTGTGAGGGTGTTAATTTAATATGCTAATGTACATAATATTGTACAGCTTCTATTTGTTGTCTTAAAACCAATACTAGTGAGGCTGTATCTGGGAACATATTTTTAATATGCAATTAGATAAAATTATGGAATACTAAGTGTTTAGTAAACAATAGATGAAGACTATATCTTAAATGTGTTGTGTACTTGGTAAAATTATATTTCAAAAGTTCATTGAATATTTTATGATAAATTTATCCTTTTGATATATATAATATTTATTCAAAAATAAATTAATATTTTTTTATTTAAATTAAATAAGTAAATAAAATAAATAAATAAATGTATGTATGTATGTAATCTTATAAACATTTTGTATGACCCAAATATATAATAAATAAAAAATATAATCATATAAATAAATATAAAATAATTTTATAACTAAATATATAAAAGTTTAACTTATAGAAAATATAAATCATGTTACTTTCTCATTAAGTCATTTTGATAATTTTATAATTTTAGATAACGTCATAAGATATTTTAGAAATTTAAAAATTATATTAGCATATCGGAAATACTAAAATATTAATGCTATCCTAAGATAATATCAATATTTAAATATTTTTAATACAGCATCTAAATAAAATATGATTAAAAAATTAAATATCAATTCACGTTTGAAATATACATTGATCACTCAATGCATGTTTCAAATATATTTATAATTATACTCTGAATCATAAAAAAAAAAGTGAAAGTATAGGCCGAAAAATAAGACTTACTTTTGGCGAATACAATGCTGTATATATTGTCCTATTCGATCAGAATTTTAGTTCCCACTGAAAGCTACATTCTATATGCATGAATCTTCCACCAACATGCTTCTGATGCTAAAAGCTTCATCCTTGAACTCACATTTCTAGACCAAATATTTCTTGTTTTTCTCATTGCTTTGTTCCTATATTGAGAGCTCCATTTGAGTCATGATAAGGATAAGAAAGTGACTGAATACGATTCCTTGTGTGAATCTAATAAATTTCCGACAGAGCATTGGAAGAATTCTATCCAACTGAATGCGATCGAATCAGGTAAAAACACAGTCTCTGAATGCCAATCTAACCTTCTTAAGATTCATATGGCTTCTGTTCTATTGTCTCTTTAAGACCTAGAATTTAACCACATGGAACAGGTCATACAGGTCCCATAGATTATATATATATATATATATATATATATATATATATATATATATATATATATATATATATATATATATATATATATATATATATCCAAACCTACTCACTTTTGTGAGTCTGAGACTAAACATGTCATGCGGATACAATCCACCTTCGTATGATCGGAATTCCTCGAGGTTATGCCATCCATCATGCATATGACCTATACTTATTATCAGGTATGAATTATATATTTATACTACAATACGAATTCATCAATAATTTTATTATTCTCTTTTATCAATAATTTTTTTATTATTAAAGAAACGTCACACCTGAATCACCCATGACGAGAGATGAGTGCACCGGAGAGCGGATCACCGGTGGGTCCTTCCATTTACGACCGGGCCACCGAGTTCAGGGCCTCACAGGATTAGGGAGCAGCAAGTGCATCGCCTTGAACTGAAGCACTATCAAATGACAAGAGAAGATGCTTCAGATCATGCGATGATTCGCCTCCCTGTGGAGTCTGAGAGGATGATGCATGATGAGGTAATATATGGAGGTAGTGTGATATATAGAGTAGACGTGCTGTGGCAAGGCATGGGAACTGCACCTGCGGTGTTGTGGATAACGTAGCCTTTCGGAAAGCCATATAAACAGAAGACTGGGGCTAATGGGAGTCGCACTAACGCAAACAAATAAGAGTGTTCCAGTTGTAGCTTGTGGATGGATTCGAGGTTTAGGTGGATTGCAGGTCATGTGATTTCTATGTGCTCGACTTGTGGTCCGGAATCAAGTGGGACTAATGAGTTGCAGCACTCATTGGATGCATTTGGTACGTAGGAAAATTCTATGTTAAGGGAAGCTTCCGAAAGCCGCAACTTAATCGTGTCAGATAAAGAGCATCACGCACTTGCCTCTATCATTCTGCTAAGTTCTAGCCTTTAGAAGACGCGTCCAAGTGGACTGCAATCGGTGATTGAAATCTTCACGCAGAACATGCATCGAACAGTAGAAAGGCAGGACGGTGGCGTTGTGAGAGAGACAGAGAGAAAGCACCGGTCATTTTCCTTCGGTCGCCGTTTGTCTCCGATCGTAGCACATCTACTTCAGTGGTGTCCCTCTGCTTCCTTAGGTCATAATTTGGTTAGGTCAAGTAGTGCTGTTTTCCATGTGTTTCGAAGGCCTTTAATCCCAACCCGATTACAATTCTTCATTGAAAGTAAGATTGTATCTATTAGATTGGTAGAGCAGTGACCTAAACACTTCAACTAAAATCAACACTCATCAAATTGGATAATTCTTCTATGGCCCAAATCTCCTCTTCTTAATTCTATTCCAATATATGTTACTTTTTAACAATCGAAGTGTCCTACGAAAAAAAGAGAGTAAGTCTAGTTCTTTGAAGGAAAGAGATTAAGGTGGTTGATCAACATTTATATCAGAATGGATGCCAAAAATATTGAGAATCTATATGTTGGGATAATGTATATACTATCACTATGTTTTACAATATTGCTAGAATGGATAACAAGTAATATTTAGTTATTTCGATTGATACATATGATTTATTAGTACATTATTGTACAAGTGATAGGTTGTAGGTTGAAAAATGTGAGAACGTATAAAGTGTTATGAATGAAAGATTAGAACATACGTGATGTAGGTTAATCACAATACATTGAACTTTAATCTCATCGTCATCAGTGATTTTTTATGGTAGTCTATGATATCATCAACAACCATAGGTGATAGAAAGTTTAATCAAATTTCATTGATATGATCTCTAAATATATAGGCTAGACGAAAGGCTTCGATCGGAGAAAGGAGCAGCAGTCAATGATAGAAGTAGGGGTTGTGATCAATGAGAAGGAGGAGGATCAGTCGCTTGTTGTCATCAAGGAGATATCACTAAACAGTGAGGAAGGAAGGATAAATCTTGCTCTAAGAGAAGAGATGATGTGATACCATGATAGATTACAATGTGATAAAAAATTTTGATCAAATTTTATTAATACGATATCTATTAATAGAGGTTAGGTAAGAGAGATTTCCGCATGCAGAAATCTTATCAATAGGAACATCTAAATCATGCATGTAACTGTCACGTAGGTCATGGTGACATGCATCGTCATCCGTCGTCATATATGACATAAGATGTCCCTTTCGTCAACTGACACGTAGGTCAAACAAGATAGAACTCAGTGCATGAGAACAGTATATTATATATTTAATTTCAATTTTGACATAAAATATTATTTTTATATTTAATACAGTATATTATATATTTTATGCTTACAGTCTCAAGATCATATTGGCCTCCTTTTCACCATAATTTCTTCTAACTCCATGGATGCAGCTCATAAAACCTCCGGATGATAAATTAATATCTCATGGATAGAAAATACACAAAGGATATGGACTCAATTAATCTTTTAGTGACTCTGTTTGGGTACCGTTCAAAGACAAGACTCCATGTACACATTAGAAAAACTGGTCTTGCCTCCATTATCCAATGATTCAGAAAAGTGTAGAGTGTTTCTTTGCTTACAAGTGAGTTAAGGATTCAATGGAAAAGGGGAGGAAGAGGAAAAAGGTGGTGCATTTATTCAAATTTCTTATGACAAACAAGGATGACATTTTATTGTGTTTGAAAGCTTTTATATATATATATATATATAAAGAATTTGACCCATCATAAACAGATCTTGGGGTTCAAAGCCTGCCGAACCTTCGGCAAGAATAGACCAAGACAAAATAAATTGAATAAATGCTTTCTCTCATGACCAAATATACCGAAAATTATTTACAATTGTGATCAAATCAATTATAGGATTATTTCTTACTATGTTTGAATCAATCAAAATATTATTTACCCTAAAAATAAAGGTAGTCAATTTAGCTTTTCAATATTGTCGCACCAATTAGCACATAATGGAAGGTATTAAATGACAAAGGAAACTTGGAAAGCATTTCTAGACGACAAATAGCTGCAGCACTAGCAAACATACAATTTTGGAAGGATAAAATATTTTTTCCTACCAAGCTGCCCTAACCATATCATATGGATTTATTTGATTAATCTTTAATGAACTAAAATATAAATTCTTATTTACTCGTTTATTTTCTAAACCGCTTCTACCATCTAAATCACCTCATTTCAACATGTAAGGTGGATTATTGCAATCCAACCAAGCAAACGAGAAGTAGAAGGAGAACTCAGAAAAAGAAACCAAAAGGAAGAAGTACAGAAGAAAGAATAGGAAAAGATAGAAACAAAGGGATATGTGACATTTC